TGCAAATAAGTAAGTAAAATTAATATGCGTTCCAAATTTTACGTAGAACTCTTTAATTTTCTAAATAATTGTTTAAACTAAATTTTAAATTACAAATTTAGTATACAGACTACTAACTGAACTGGTTCAATATAATAAAACATAAGAGCGCTTAATATATAAATAAAATATTATATATATATATATATATATATATATATATATATATATATATATATATATATATATATATATATATATATATAATACAATATAATAAAACTTAAGAGCGCTTCCCTGTCAATAAAAACTGTCTGGATATTTATTTTTTTTTTGCCGAATAATATAGTATTCAATAAATAAAAATACCAAATATATTATGTCTGGTTTGTGCAGTGTGTTGGGTTGAAAAAAGTGCTAGATCTAAGCAACCTTCAGAATTAGGAAATATGAGGTCGGTAATTTATTGCTGACCCTAATTTGGCAATTTATTGCTGACCTCTGACTGTTAGAGGTTGGCAGAAATAATTTGATACAAAGGGGTTACCATAAAACAAAAAAACAAGGTTGGCAATTTTTTACCAACCTCAAACAACTTAAGGTAGGCAGTTAGGTCGGCATTGCCAAATGCCGATCCTAATTCTGAGGGTTGTCTAAGTCGCTATCAGAAGTCACCACCCAAATACAAGATATGATCAAACTCTATATATATGATGGTTATGATAAAAATATTATGGTTTATTCTGTCATATGTAGTAATTGTTAACAAAATTTATACCTTCTTAAGAGTGGCCATACTTCTAGAGAATCATGGGGAGTTTAAGTTGCTAGGGTCTTTTATATACTAATACTTTATGTTTAAATCAATTTGTTTTATACTAATACTATAGTAAAGTATAAATAACAAAGGACCACCCATATAGAGCACCTACAAAAAAATTCCAGCCTTTTAAAATAACATCAAAATAATATACATTTAAACAAAGTCTTTGTGTTTAAATGTATAATATTTCAATGTTATTTAAAAAAGTTAAAATTTTTTTATACATATAAAAATATTATACATTTGAACATTATTATAGACAATTAGAATTGTCCTTGACTCCTCTTCATTAGTGACAGTAAATACAACAAATGATTATATACAATATATATATTAGATATATAATATAACTAAAACAAATTGTTACTAACATATCTATTTGCATAATTATTTGTTAAGTTGTAGTTAGTTGATTTGTAATTTTAATAATTTGTAAACTGAAATGCTTTAGATTGATTGGGCTAACAAAAGGCGATCTTCAGATCCATGTTTGGGTATTGGTGTTCCAACATTTACTGAACGGAAAGTGTCTGAAATGGTATGCAGCATTTGTTTACTGGGCTTGTTACTGGACCAGGCATTTCTCATCAGTGTACACAAGCTGCTGCTATAGACAACTTGATTGGCCACTGTTTACAATTAGAAGAATATGCAAAACAAATAGCCAGTGTTATAATTAAAAAAAAAGAATGAGAGCCAATGTATAGAAAAAAGGACAGATTTCAAACTAAAAACACGAGGAACACCAATCTCTATTATAGTTGGAGCTCCCAATTTAAAAACTAACAGATGTAGTAAACAACTTTCTCTACAAACAGTCATGGAACTAGTCTTCCTTGAACTTTCTGACAATTCAATAAAAAAAACTTTGTTCTAGATTTAGGACTGGATTTAACAGATGAGATTCTTTTGAAGGAAATATAGTTCAAAAACTTGATAATCTTAATGTAAACTTGATGAGTTTTATAGTTTAGAGGAAGTTGAATTTACTTCTAACCTATCATAAGACATTTAGTTTATGTTAAAAATCCCTCTGATTTAATCCTGAATATTATTAAAGAAAGAGGTATAAATCCATGTGAAGGTTTTGTAAGAGTTTCTTTAGATGATGGAGGAGGCTTCCTAAAAATTTCTGTGAATGTTTTTGAGAAAGAAAAAGAATCTGAAAATAAATTTCAAAATAGTTCAAAAAATTCTTATTTTAGCCATTTTTAAAGATATTCCTGAAAAATATGAAAACATTAGTGCTTGAGAAACTTAACCTTGAAGGTTTAAACTATTATGTTGCTTTTGATCTTAAATGTGCTAATGTATTATTTGGTCTTTCATCACACCCAGGTAAAAAAGCTATTGGAACTCTAAGAACTATTGGCAATCTTGATTCCTGTTATGAAGCTTATAATGAAAATGGATCCATTAGACCTTCCATAAAGGAATTTGATATTATTGTAAACAAACGCCTATCATATCTGAACATGGATAAAAATACTTTGCTAGAAAATTAAGTTGCTCCGCCTGAGTTACATCTTCTTATTGGAGCAGTGGATAAGATAGCAGGATTTCCTTTAACTGAGTGGGATGGTTTTAAGTTGTGGTTAAAAAAGCACTATATAATTAAAAGCACTATATAATTAAAAGCACTACATAATTAAAAGCACTATATAATTAAAAGAGGATATCATGGAGTTGGATAGGATGGTGATAATGCAAATAAAATTTTAAAATTACCTGATTCACTTTAACTTTAAGTGCAACTTGAAGTGCAACTCAAAGTACCATATTTACTTCCTGTAGTCCGAAGTCCAAAGCTTAAGAACTTTTAAATCTGTAAAAAAAGCTTGTTTTGGAAAAAAAATTTGATTCTGACTCTGAACAATCATTGTTTAGAGATGTTTTTCTATGCCTACAAGAAACAACTTCTTCGCTTGGAAAGACAATAACAGTTTCATGAAAAATCCACATTATATGTTGCCATGTTTTTCATTTTGTAAAAAATGCAGGATGTGGCTTGTCAAAGTATGCAGAACAGTGTGGTAAGGCGATTCATGCGAAGTTTAAGTCTATATAGCAACAATGTAAATGCAATATTGATCATAAAGATTATGGAGATAGATTAAAAACTGTTGTTGTTGATTTTGGAATTAAAAGATTATAATACTTAGTTTTATATTGAAATTATATTTAGTATAAATTTTTTATTTCATTTTATTGTTAAATAAAGCTGTCTCATAAAAAATCATGAGATTGTAGCAAACTTTTTTTCAAATAAAACCGAAAACTCAATCCAAAAAAAATTATACTTATGTCAACTAAAACAAAAATAATTTATAGATTTCAAATTTCATTAAAAAAATACTTTGATATCCAGGAGCTGTGGGTATGTAAAATTAACAACCCCTTCATTTTTTGATCAGGGGAGGGAGTTCAGAATTTTGTCTTTCTCTAACTCTTAGCAAGTAAAACTAATTTTAAACATGATTAAACCAGATTAGTTTAATGAAAACAATACTTTATCATTGAAAAAATCCCAGGTGACACTCCATCAAACCTAATATGCTCTCTGGTCCATAGTGTAATATACATATATATATATATATATATATATATATATATATATATATATATATATATATATATATATATATATATATATATATATATATATATATATATATTTTTATATATATATATATATATATATATATATATATATATATATATATATATATATATATATATATATGCATTATATTAATTTGAAATAATAATGATAATAATAATAGTTATATGGGCATGCACTCCACACTCAGTTCAAACTTTTAACTGCGAAGAAAAATTTAAATGTGTTTTTACTAATTTATTATTGCTCTGTTCTTTAATAACATCGACCACTCTATTTGTAGAATACACAAACATAACTTTTCAAATATAACAAACTGACTCCCAACAAGGCTACAAGCAACTACTATTTGTTTACAGTCAACAGAAAGTCTAAAAGCAACTAGCAAAAAAAGACAAAAGAAAGGCTGCAAGCAACTACTATTGTTTACAGACAACAGAAAGTAAAGAAGAGAGTTAAGGATCAAGGAAACAATTGATAGTTGAAAAAACTATTAGATAAACCAGGGAAGCAACAAAATTAGATAAATAAAAGTATTTTAAACATAAACTTTAACAGCAAAAAAATGCAACATTAATGAATGACAAATCACACGAGATTGAGTTTTTGATTGATAAAACAAGAGATGTTAGCTTGTTTATACAGCAGTTATGGTACAGAAACATTTTTATTTTAAAAATAATCTAAAATAAATATAACATTTTGTTATCTTTTGCAAACAAAACCTTTCTCCAAAAAAGTCACTAATTGTAGTTGTTAATTTTAATATGACTATGCTGTAAAAGTAACAATATTGTTATGTATTGTGAATAAAAACTTTAAACTAAATCAAAATTTTAAAATTATTACACAATTGTTTTATTTTGACTTATTTAATATTTATAACATCAGCAAAATGTTACCATGACAAACTTCGTAAACACTTCTACCACCTTGGCTTAAAATTGACAACAAAAAAAAAAAAATTTTTTAAGGTTTCAAATTTATAATGAGGATTTTTGTTCTTTTGTAAAATTGGTGAGTTGTAATCAAACTTATTAGAGATAATGTAGATCAACATGTTAAAAGTCACACATATTTTATGATTGTTTATTGTTTTTACAATTGTTTAATGGTGTTTAATGAAAGTTTAACGATTGTTTAATGGTGATTGTAATTAAAAGTATTGTCATGGAACTTTTCCAAGGTGAAGAATGTGATGCAGAGGAGCCTAAATAATTTTTAACATCAACACTTTAACTATGCTATGATTTAAATATGTTTTAATAATTCCTGAAAATTGTTTATATTTTTTTTAAACTGTTTACAACTAAAATGTATATATCTTAGCACAATAAGCAGAATGTCCATTTGAAAGCAAGTTAAGGATGTTGTAATACATTTCCATGAATAAAAATGACTGGAATTATAAATAAAAAGCGAAATTAATTTTACTAATTTAATTAATTAAAATATATTTAATTAAGTAGCAAAAAATATTTAAGGTAAAAAATATTAAAGGTATTGTAAAATTTAAATTTGTATTATTAGGTAAAAAAATAAAATAAAATTACATCAAATGTTAAAATAAAAAAATACCTCAACCATATTGATGACAAATGAAATTTTTAGTACAATCTAAATTTATAGACAAAATTTTACTTCTTAAAGAGAAATTATGTTTTTCCAGAAACTCTCATAAAACCAGAAATATTTAGAATATTTATGGAAATTTTTGAACTCAGGTTACTCTAATTCAAACTTTAAAAACTAAAAAAGATATATAAATTATACATATACAACATAAATTATATATAAATTATACACATATAACATACATATATACATGTATATATTTATGTAATACATACGTTGTATATACATGCATTGTATATATATAAATGTATGTATGTATGTATGTATGTATGTATGTATGTATGTATGTATGTATGTATGTATGTATGTATGTATTTATGTATGTATGTATGTATGTATGTATGTATGTATGTATGTATGTATGTATGTATGTATATATACATTTGTTTGCAAAATTTGCCAACAAACAAAACATTGGGGTTTGCAAAAATATTTTAGGACAATACGACTTCATAAATTCATATATATATATATATATATATATATATATATATATATATATATATATATATATATATATATATATATATATATATATATATATATATATATATATATATATATATATATATATATATATATATATATATATATATATATATATATATATATATATATATATAATAATAACTACTTTTATTATACTTTTTTTTTCCAACTCTAGCTATTTCATTATATCTTGGCTTAAATGTCAGCATTTTCAACTTTAGTAAAGTTGAAAATGCTGACATTTAAGCCTGGATATAATGAAATAGCTAGAATTGGAAAAAAAAAGTATAATAAAAGTAGTTATTTTTTCAATAATAAAAAACTTTCATTTCGATGATACCTGCCAAATCCGAAACCCTTAGTTAATATATAAATTCAATAGTACGGTAAACTTGGATGAAAGTGGATGTTGGACATCAATATATGGACAAATTCATTTGACTAGAAGACTTGATCTGACTAGAAACTCTTATAAATAAACAAATTAAAAAAAAATTTCATTTGGTTTAAGATATGGTCATTTGTCATTAAAAATCTGTCATATAAACTCATTTATAATTCTGTAATTATCACTATAAATTTTAACTAGGGCTGTTGATAGATCGGGACTAACTCAGACCCGACCCGAGTTGTTCTGGGTGTCGAGCATCCAGGTCGGTAAGACCCGTAAATCAAAAGGGTCGGATTTGTAACTTGGTCAAACATTTGAGGACTAAACTCCGCCTAGTATGTAATAGATGTCGGAGTTGAAAAGTTTTAAATTTAATCAAGAAAAAGCATAAATGAATAAGTTCGTGTGATAATACTTTACGAATATTCTTTTTTTTTTAATTGTAGAACATTGTTTGAAAAATAATGTCCATAGAGGCAATTTCATTTTTTCCATCAAACATAGGTATAGATGATGAAAGTTCTGTGAATAAAACTAAGAACAATGATTAAATTATTTTTTAATTAAAAATGTAAGCTGATTAGGGAAACGTATTTTAGGTATTCTCTACAAAAAAAGAAATATTGAAGCTGAATGTTTATAGCACGCTGTGTGGAATGGTAAAATAATAATTTTTTTTATACAGCCATTCTGGGTAACATTGAATTTGCAGATAACATTGAGTTAAGAGTGACTTTCTGTAAGAATCAGCCAAAACACCAAATTTTTAGAGTGACTTCTTTCTAAATTGCTAACAAAACTAAATGGACTCTCTTTCATTCGTTTAGGAAAAAAAATTTTACCCTTAAACTTGGCTCAAATCTTTATTGATCAAATTGAAATAAAAAGAGACTCCGTTATTAAATTCTAAAGTGTTTATCTTGATGAGAACATTACTTGGAATGAACATAATTGTGTATTATAATTAATTATGTATGCTCTATATTATAACTAATCATGTCTCTAAAAACATTGGAGTTTTATACAAAGCTCAACCTTATCTCAATGAGAAAAACTTAAGACAACTTTATTTCTCATTTATTCACTGCTACATAAACTATGATAATATTGCCTGGGGAAGTACTGAAAAAATTAAAATACATTGTCTTTATCGCTGTCAGAAACGAGCAACTCGCATTATTAACTTTGCTGATCGTTTTTCTTATTGTAAACCTTATTTTAAAAATAAAAATTTTAAACACATTTGAATTCAACGTTTTGAAAATTTTATGCTTGGTTTATATGTGGAAAAACCTCGTATCCCCAAACAAACTTTAATTTCATCTTGCCTATCGTGCACCGTACATATGGAATAAATTTGTTTTACCAAGTTTTGATTTTAATCAACCAAATTCTTTAAAAAAATATAATAATAATAATTTTTTCCCTCTATAACATTTAGAGTATTACTAATTAATTTATCTATTATTTAACTTTATTTTGTATTTTTATTATTTTTCTCTCAAATTTTGCTGTTTACAACTGCTTATATCGTTTTTACAATATGTTACTTATATTGTTTAAAGTTTTGTTTATGTAAAAAATTCTCTCTATATATATCGATGGTTAAGAGCACAAAGGGAATACGTCCATTAACCATTGTTTTAAGAAATTTGAATTTGAAAGTTTGAAAACATACAATAATTCATGATATTTATTCATTGTCCTGATTTGTTTTGATAAATATTTTCCGATTGGTCGACTGTTGAAGCTTAATATTTGTACCATAGTACTCTTATCACTTACTGAATGACGTGCGCGCAATAACTCAAAACCGTAAAATGTTGGACATATTCCAATATTATTCATATTATAATTGGTTTTCTAGTTATTAGATATCAAATTTTGACTAAATTTTAAAAATAGAAAATGATGTCAATGGGATTTTTAAACTCGAAATAAAAAACACAATGTAAATACTTTACAATGAGTATTTCACTTGAATATTGACCAAAAAGTAATAAAGTAAGTAAAAATTTTCCTTTTCTAAATATCACGCTTCAAAATTAGCGGAAAATGATTTTTTTGTTGTCATTTTTTATCTTCGTTTTCATTTAAAGACGCAATTATCCCATAATTTTTTTTTTGTTATTATAAATCTTTATCTAGTTATGTAGAAAAATATAAAAACAATCTATGGGAAAGTAAAAGCTTAGTCGCAAAATCCAACTCAAAAATAAAATTCTAAGCTTTTGACGCATTGATTGTGACATGATAATGGTTAAAGCCCTGAGTTTACAAAAGTTGTATGAGACAAACATAAACAGTTTCTAATAATTATCAGATAAAAAAATATTAGTTGTGGGATATAGGCATATTTGAGAGTTATTTAAAAAATGTTGTTTTACAATAAATTTCTTCTTATACAACTTTTTTTAAGCTCATTCGTTCATTCATTCATTCATTTGTTCATTCGTTCATTCGTTCATTAGTTTATTAACTTCTTCAAAATCGTTTGTTGCTAAGAAGTAATCACCTTGGTGATTAATTGGAGTTGGAGGACTTATTTTACATAAGATGTCGTCATCTGAATATACCATTCTATCTTTCTGATTAGGCCTTTAATAACAATTTTTTCCAAAAGAAACACTTTTCATGCAGTCAATTTAAGTACCAACTTCAGCTATCTAAAACTATTTTAATGCAAAATCATGGATAAATGAAACTTATCATTTCTATAATAAATAATCATTTAAGTTTTAATAATGTTTTTGATGTAATGTTAGTTTTTTACTTAGTTTTATATAGAATAAGTTTTTGGTTTAACAATATATACACAATTTTTACCTCTGCATTTGTGAAGTATTCATCAAGAAGATTTTTCTGCTTAATGGAAAAACGAAAAGTCTTACTTGTTGGCAATGCCCAACCTATTTAATGGAACTTTTGAGAATATATATTGTTTTTTGGGGTATGTGTGATCTTAACAAATGCGGTTATAGAATTAGAATAAACTTGCAAAGTTGCTTTCAACTTTTCAGTATAAACTTTTTTTACTTTATCTAAAGAAGAAGATTAATCAAATTTGTACTGTTCTGTCAACATATTCTCTTCTAACTCAATAGTAGTTTTAAAAGATTCAATATAATCAGCCTCTGGCAAAAAATATTGTGCATTTAAATCACAATTTCTTTTCTATATTTTTCTAATCAGGGTTTTTTGCTAAAAGTTTCCTTCGGTACTTATGAATGGAACAAGCATTTCAATTAATGGTTCAACTGAAAGGTTGTTGTAAAGCACTTCAACTTCAGCTCCAATTGCATAGTATTGCCAAAAAGTCATGTAGGTTTCTGATGCATCATAGAAGTGGTAGTTTCTTATATTTTGAATTTTAGGACCAGGTAAAGTAACATTTTCTATTTTTGATACACTAACCATACCGTTTTTTGTTTTATCATTACGGTTTTTAGCCGGATCAAGATTCAGTTATGCCCTGATTGCCAGCATCTACGTAACTTCTTAGAATTATTTTAGCTGATGCACTTTCCCTATTGCATTGGTCTTATCCACTACAAGGCTCATTAAAGTCGTACCGTAGAAGTTTAAAGTTAACCTATTTTTGCAGAACTTGTACAAGAGCTCAACTAAATAGTTGTTCTATTGTTGTAAAAAAAAATGTTTTTTAGTATTTCAAGGAAATGTGTACAAGATTGTCATAAAATTATTTTTCAGTTATTTAAAACCTAGAGAACAAAACAAACGGAATAATTTCAAATAACATGTACAACGTGGGTATAATGTGAAATATTGATGTTTAACTCAATATTGGATTATTTTTTAAGAAATATGTTGATATTTATCAAGTTATTGGGTACAATGAGCACTTTATTGAAGTTTTACATGTCTAAATCATGTGGCTTTTATATTTGAAGAAGTAAACAATTCGAAGCTCATAGTTATGCTATAAATGAGTTTATTGCGACTCAACCTAATGACTTAATGAGCCTTATAACTTAATGAGCCTAATGACTTAATGAGCCTAATGACTTAATGAGCCTAATGACTTGTGACAATGAACAAATCTAAGTTGATTGTGATTTTTCAAGTTGAACAAGCCAATGGTAATATTGAAAAATTTTTGTCTCAAAACAGAGTACTTAAGATATCTACTAACACCAAAAACGAACAGCTTGTTGAAAATTGTCTCATCAGGTATGAGGGATTTATACCCTGGCCAAGACAAAAAAAT